TCCTACTTTGATCAAAAACTCTGGAAAGAAACATCATTCCTCACAGCCTGTGTCCAATGTGAGTGAAAGGAGGCCCGCGAGATCCGTGCTGAGGTGAACTTAAATTTTACTGTAATTGCATCATAGCACAAAAGGCCAGAGTCTCGCTCGTTGCGTCTCGCTGCTGCAGCGCGAGACACAACGCGCAGAGGCGCCAGCGCTGTGATCGGTCCGCCTTTAAATGCATAAACTACTAACCCATCTTCTACAAACATATCTTTTAGAAATTTAGGAATAAATCTGCTCCGCCAGTGAAACGCTCAGAGCAATAGAGACGCTTGCAATCTGGCTTAAAAAAAAAAAAGCGTTTTTGACATTTTTTTTTATTATTATTACTTACCTAAAATCATAAACAAGAAAGGCTCAGTCTGGCGGTGGGGCTAGTAAAGCATGGTGGGCCGCCAGGCCTACAATCCACTGAGGGAAACCCTGAAATCTGAGCTGTGTGTTAAAAAGAGAACCATACCTTGTGGTTGACTGTTGCTAACTGGGAAAAGTAGTTGTCTTGTAATTGGATGCTGAAGATAAATTCCAGTTTCCTATCGATATTCCCTCTGAGCAAAGGATTCACCCTCAAGTCGCCTGCTGACCTGTGCATCAGCGAATGAATTGATGAGCATTTGTGGCCCTCTGTGTCTAGTGTGAAGTTCTTGGAGTGACCAGAGAAGCAGTATATAAAGTCAGCCCTCGCAAATCTTCAACAAGCCTTTCAGTCAATTATGTTCGTAATGAGCCACGGCCCTTTTTATGGGTTCCCATGATGATGGCTCGCTCCTCCTGCAGCAGCTCCCACACTGTGTTCCACACATTAGGGGAGAATCCTGAACTACTACAGCCGTAGATATATTGTCATCGCAATATTGATGTCACAACGGACTGCTTTGGGTACAATAATTGCATGCCAATAAATTCCAAGTATCAATAGTTCCCAGCATGCTGTGGAGTAGTTTAGGCCGGTCGATAGGCTCGCAGCAGCAAATGTCCGTACCTGATGGTGCCCAAGACAGCAGCGTTGAAAGCTAGAACAGATGAAAATGAGCGCGCTGAGAAAAAAAAAAGCGATATGCAGCAACTGATATCAATTTGTATACAAATAACATTGCATGATTTTTCAATATTGTGCAGCACTAGTTATTACTGCTAGATATAAATCCTCATCTTCATATCAAAAAAGGCAATTACCAAGACTATTCTGGGGCCGAGGATTCGCCAGAGGTCCCCGGTCAATTTAACAGAGGCACGAGTCAGTCTGCTGCTACTTTTTCATGTGTAGATGTCGGGTAAAATCTCCAGTTGTCTCCGTTCTTCAACCTTTCTCAATAGAACAGAGTTTTTAGTTCATTTCACGTGCAAAAATCCTATCCTGCAGAACATAATGACATTTGCAGGAGTTAATATGCTTATATTGCTCCATCTGAACAGACACATGAGGCACATCTCCACTCCTTGAAATCATTGATACTGTTACTTAGAGACCAACAGCAGTGGACGTAATGTAATATTAAACAGACTAATTCATACTAGAGCTGTCATATGACCATAATCAACATTGTGTTTCTGGCGTATTTTTTTGATCTGACTGAAACTTCTCAATACATCTACTGAGAACTCTTACCAAATCAAAGTCGGGAGCAACCTAACACGACCTGCTTAAAGTTTTTATGTTGAGCAACTTCTCACAAGCAAAACAAAAGGATTCCATGTCAGCCATAGAGGCCGAGCGTATCATGTCTACATGAATCCAACAGGATCTTCATTCACAGACCCTATTGTGTAACGCAACGATTTCAACTCGGTTTTAGACACTTGGTTAATGTTGCAGCCCCTATTAAAACCCAGTAGCAAGTACCAAGGTTTGGAAGGAGACGTAGCGCTAATATTACAAGCGTACAACACAGAACTCAACAGAAAGTTAAAATCAATAGTAGGTTTTCCTATGACGTCTGTATCTTTCTTTTATTCAGTCCTGTCCGCGCTCCCTACCAACCAACCACGTTACAGAGTCTCATTGTACTTTCAGACCGATTCAACCTCAGCAGATTACAGTGAGAAACAGGCTCTGAAACGTCCATACAAAGCATGCCGAGACTCAAAGAGGAGGAAAACAAAAAAATGTCTGGTTCAATGAAACCTTAGACTGGTATTGTGGAGCAAATCCTCAGAAACAGCTTAGCCCGTCATCTTACCAAACAAAAGGAAAAGCCTGCACACAAAGCGCAAAGGCTTTCAGGTAGGAGGTTATGCTGGATGTATTGTACGGTGGAAGGAGAAAAGGGAGACGACCGTCACGTACATCTCGGAAAATTGGAACGTCACAAAAAAATTCAAAGATTTTTTGTCACTCGTTTTAGAAAGTGAAACTCAGATTTATTAGAGTGAAATATGTTATGGCTTTATTTTTTGGAATACTGATAGCTGCCACTTACAGACATTGAACACCCATCACACTGAATCCTGTACAAATTAGGTGAGTATAGAAAATAGATTGATAAATTACACTTTCTATCACATGAGACCACCTGGATAATGAACTTAGGATTTTCTATGGTTCCCCACACTATTAATAGCATCTCTGGTGTCTCATTGGATAATAATGTAATTTGATCTACATTATTATAACTTCAGTTACAACTCAGAAAATCTATAGTAAATGTCTCCTCTAAACATAAACACCAAATCTCTGTGTTAAGCACGCTAGTGCTGGTGATAAAATATGACAAGCATTTTCATTGGTCACCTTCCCATTGTTTTAGTGACTAAAACAGATTTATTGTGGTTGAATTTGATTGCATGGAATTTTTAACTGAAAGACCATAGTTGCGAATTTGTGTTTTTTCAACATTAGAAGAATATCAGAAAAAGTTTTCACGCACATTTGTAATGAAACGCAGCTACAGCGACTGATCTGCAGCAAACTGATGCCGGGACAAATCTAGCTGCCTCTGTGCAGGTTGCTAACTTTGACACTATATGTGTGGTAGCATCTTGCTCTTTCCCTCACGAGCTGCGTTTCCGTCGACCGCATAGCTGAGTGATTTGACATTTAGAAAATTTGCTTAATTGGAACATTTTTGAAGAAAAAAGTAATTTATCAATAAGACGTTTCGGTGTTAGTTTAAGGTGAATTTTTGGCCGTATCAAAATAGGTCTGTTTCCCAAAATTGAAAAGGAAACACTTTTTCCATATCGCGTGATCAACAACCGCTTGCTGCCACTGACATAAACCACGAAGGAGACGACAACAGAAAGTAGTGGCAGGGTGACGGCGCATTGAAAAACGGTAAGTTTCTCAATGACTTGCCGTTTTAAGCTTGTTAAAGTGATTTTAATTGTGCTTCTTTTAATGCAGACATTGCAGTTGCACAACTGCGGGGTTTTTCTACATTAGCGGAATATGGACAAAGTTTCACATACATTTGTAATCCAAAAACATCGATTATGAGGGAATTTGAACTGGTCCAAATTCAACATTTCCTTTTGAATTTATGAAGATAAAAACCAGCAGATAAAACCACAGAAAATGTGTACAGTACAACAAACACAAAAAATTATATGAAAACCAATTCATATGTTAAAGGAAAAATATTCTTTTAATCAAAGATGGAAAATCACTCTTTGTGCTAAAACAAATAAAAAATAAATATTTCAAAGAATTTACACTTAATGTTCTGAGATGCAGTCCTGAGTATAAGTGTCGAGTTTCATTTTGCTATTCATTTTAACTTGGATACAGATGTTTCATTCTTGCCTTCTTCAGATTAATGATTTCTCCCATAATGAGGAAGATGTCTGGAGCAACTGAAGTGGTTCCGGCCCTGCCTCAGCGCTTCCAGCTGCTGCCGGCTCCATTATAGGAAGGACAGTGGAGGTGCAGCGCTGCCCAACTTCACACAGAATGACAGCTAATACCTTCAGAGAAAAGTGTCTATGGTAGCACCAAAGGGAACGAGAGGATAGGCAGTGAAAAGTTCAGCCGTCTCATCTCGGCTTACCATCGCTCTGACTGCACTAATCTGACAGCTGATGCACGCCCAGCCCGTCTCTCAGCACTGTTTTTCCGCTTTCCTCCTCTCACTTTTTCATCTTTACATTGAGATTGTTCACTTTCATATTTTCCTCTTGTAGCCTTCCTCTTTGTGAGGGTTTCATCACAGGATCAAACAGCTGCTCACGCAAGAATCTAAAGGGAAATAATAAAAGTCACCATTAATACAATCGGATCATTAAAGTGGCAGAAAAGCAAAAAGTTACTGACCACATTTTGTAAAGTAGCCTAATTAAGCTGAACAGAAAGTTGAAGTTGGTTTTAAACAAAAAGTCTGACGATGCAAAACTCATATCTGAGAAGTCGTATGACATCATCAACGGCTTTGCATTACCTCAGTCACTGCTGAGCAACAAACAGCTCATTAAACTAATTGAAAAGCTGCATAAGTTAAAAGGCTTGGGTATGTTGCTCCTGACTGATCAATTCATTGGCTTATTGATTTAGGGAGTGCTGCAGTGACTTCCTGCCAAAAATTGTTACTGTATATCTGTTGCTTGCCTGCACAGTCATGGCAATTTGTTTTTGTTTTTTTTGCCTGTTGGTGCAAGACTGAAAATGCACAGCAGAGTAAATGGAAAATGAATTACTGACAAAAAAGTCAAATTAGGAAGTTGGAAAGTGAAAAAATTTGTTTAAAAAAACAGTAAGAAGAAAAACCCTAGTAAATTTTTGACTTTTGGAGCTCAGAAAGTTTTGGCAGAAATTTACACCTCTTTCAATCTACAATGGCAATAATACATGCCACCATCATGGAAATGTCTGGATGTGTGGAAGAAAAGACAAAACGACTTCTCTAATGCAAATGTCCTGTCATGCCTCTTCAGTTAGTCCATTAAGAACCTGTAATCAAATGATGCTGTTTATGTATAAAACACTCAATATTTTACACATAAAATATTGAGCATCCCAAAGATGTTCTCTTACCTAAACATCTTCGGGAATGTTTATTAAATGAATGTGTGCAACCACAGGGGAACACTGAGTTCTAAAAATGTTGCAGTATGCAAGAATGAGTGGCCTGAATCTGGAATTTACAACGATTTCCAATCATCAATCAGGTAAAAATAAATACAAAATCATATTACAATGTACAATGTATTCTGATGATGTATGTCCGGCTATTATTTACAGTTATCTTTTTTACATAACATGAAATGGCTTGGAATGTTACAATTCAATTTGAAATTTTTTTCTTAAACTTTTGACAAGACACTAGACACTGCTGCATTCTAGAGCCATTGCAGTCTGGAACCCGTTTTCAAACGGTGCTGTCAGAGAAAACATCCGGTGGTTTCATGTGAACATACAGTACAAACATCATAACTCTTCCATTTCCACCAGAAACTGTCGCGTGAACAGGGCCTGAATTGCACAAGCATGTTTTTATTTCCGCATTGGACCGAGTCGCTGAGAGATAGACGCTATTAAATGGAGGTGACTGACTGATTCTTCCTACTTCTTTTCAAACAGAAAAAATGTGCTAAGCTAATCATTTTTGTTCTCGGCTACATACGGAGATGATTTCTGTTCCACTGGGTACTTGATTCTTTTTTTTTTCTTTTTTTTTTTAAAGAAATGTCACTGCAGGATTACAGTTGAAGTCTCACGTTAAGAAGGACAATTTCAAGTTGTGAGCTCACATCAGCTCAGAGTGAAGAGATTCACCAACAGTCAGTTTAACTCTGATAAAAATCAAACATGGTCCGAAGTGCCTGGGAAACTCTGAGTGCTACAGAAACGGACGTCCGACTTGTGTCCTCTTCTACAAAGTGGCGCCTGAGCCGTTTCCACTCCCTCGTCCTCTTCTTAGCATTTAAATAATCACATTAGCACCCGGAGCTTCTCTCCCATTCATTGTAGCACTGACATGTCTGTTGGAACTCCAGTCTGATGATTTATTTATTTATTTATTTGTTTGTTTTTTTGCTGCAGCAGCAAGACAAACAGTCTGACTTATCCCATCATTCAGTGTGACAGGAGTTACGATCCTATTGGTGTCTCACAATATGACGTTCAAATGCTGTATGAATTTTGAAACTGCACACTCTGTGTGTATGTGTGTGTGTGTGTGTGTGTGTGTGCGTGTGTGTGTGTGTGTGTGTGTGTGTGTGTGTGTGTGTGTGTGTGTGTGTGTGTGTGTGTGTGTGTGTGTGTGTGTGCACTTTCGTGCACCTGTGTGTGGTTTAGAGATACATGATACTTTATCATCTTGTGACTTGAATGTTTTTGGTAAAATATTGTGAGGAAGATTTACTATTTTCCCCTGACTATGTGTTGTCATCTGTCATTCTGAAGATTCTAAAAATCTCTTTGTAACTTTTCGCATTCATCTGTTCCAGATGTCGGCTTCTAATACAACAGGAAACCGTCCAGCAGACTGAATATCTTATTGGCATGCAGTAACATGTATTGTTGACACTTGTGGTGTAATAACCAAAAACCAACTTATTCCAAACAGTCCTTTGGGGCTTTAATTATTCATACACAACTATTGGCATCAGAAAATGTTTGCAAAATATTGTGCTGCCTGCCCCACTGGGGAGACATTTTTACCAGCATGTGTAATAAAAGCTTGGCAGTTGAACTAGTTATTCTCTCCAGTATAATTAGGGCAATTATTTTAGTTTCTACACATATAAACAAAACTGATTATTGCTGATGAAAACTGAATTCCCCATCACTTTTCAGTTGCATGATGTCTTTAACATGGTGTTTAAAGACTACTATGCATTCTGCATACAAGCCCTGCAAGTACACTGAAAGAAACGATGAACCCCACTAAATAATGTAAAAAGAAAAATGTTGTGTTTATTCCGTTTCATATTCTGCACAAAAGCTTTGCTTTGAATATGAATGTCCCAACATTTAAATGTGGCTTTCAACAACTAAGTAACTTTTTCAATCCACTTTTCTTTCATACTGAACACGAGAAGACATAAAACTAAACACTATCAAAGGATAACGTGAAAAAAGATAAATGTTCTACTTTTACCATTTCATTCATTCATTTAGAAATTAAATGTCAGTGTCAAACCAAATGCTTAGCTCAGAGCTAAATGCTTTAATAATTTAAGCATTTAGTTTTAACAAATGCATTTCAAGCTAAATATTTAGATTGCTAACCAAAATTTTTCTTTAACCTTTATTTGATTTAGAATTGCATATTAAACTCCAAGCTAAGCTCTTAGTTAGCTAACCAATTGAATGTCAGTGCTAATTTAGCTGGTTAGCTTGCTAACTTTTACCTAGCTTGCTAGCTAAATATTTAGTTTGGAGGTAAATATTTAGTTTGCTAATTAAATGTTTAGTTTGATTGAAAAATTAACACCCCAGTCTTGTTTTCTTCCTATAACAGACTAAAATACCCAAATTATTACTGGTCAATTTTAATTGCATGTGGCTAAAAACTGAACCCCAAAAGACACTTTTAATTGACGTTTCTAATTGACGGCAGACTCCTACAGGAGAATTGTGTCACATTGTGGAAGAAAGTTCTCATTTATTTAACCGTTATGTTACCAGGTACATTGAAAAACGGAACAGGTCGTCCATCTTCAATATATTTTCTTAATTGGTCAAAGGGAATCAAATTGAGTTTATGCAATTTATTATGCTTGTTAAGTTGTCAAGTTAAACATAAATAAAGTCAGCTTGACAAACTTCGTCCGATCACCAATGAAGTTGAGGTTTGAGCCGCTTCTTTGTCCATCGAGAATAAATTCTCATTTTTAACAACAATCTATACATGCCAAGAATCACAGCATTTTCCTTTTTGTTGCATGTTTCAGAATAGCCATCCAAGAGATCTTGAATCATAACAGGAATGAATATAGTCAAAGTTAGCGTTGCCTCAACAGTTGCGTGTTGAGGAGCTGGCGGAGGATCGCCGGCCAAGGACACAAACAGTCTTGGACTGCAGCTTCCCCACCATCTTCTCTCCATCTGCCACATGAAACGCATTAGCCAAAAGCACAAGTGTTGAGATGAGTGTGGCCTGGCCCCTGTTTTTGGCCATTAGGCATTTGATGAATGTCCTGGGGAATGTCACACAAGGAGGGGCATGTCGCCCGAGCAGCAGGAAGCCGTAATGACTTGCTGCAGTTCATATAAACAGATCAGTCAAACCAAACGGTGCCAAACTGTGGGCAACACATCCAAAGGAAAAAGCATGAATGACTGATAACCGCTGATAGAGCCCAGGCTGATTTTGTCTTGCGTAGTAATACTGGAATTTTTTTCTTTTTACTGTAAAAACAAAATCTTATCAAGTATTTTTTGTCAACTTTCTAGTGCAAATCTCTTAGTGTACTTAAAATAGGCCAAAATTCACATGCAAAGTTTTCAGCAAGATATAGGAGATTGTTTTAAGTCAATAATTCTTATAGATTTTCTTTTGAAGTGCTAAACCCACTACCAGATTTTTTTCCACAAAAAAAATCTGCTGCTTGTTATTTGCTAGACAAATACTTGCATTTTTGCAACTTTTACCTTTCCGATTAAATTAAACATAAAACACACACTGGTTTTCCATATTCTGACTACTGTGCATTTTATTTCCTTTGCTGATGCAGAACAAATTTAATTGTGATTCAAAACTCACAAGATGTGAAAAAACACAAATCATCAACAAGTCAAGACAGAAAACGAGATGTTGAGAGAGAGCCAGAGGAATGAAAAAAATAATAATACTAAATCACAAGAATCTTCTTTGAATATCAAACGATTCCATTTCTTTACCATCGCTCCCCACTTTCCCACTCACCTATGAAGGCATTTCTCCTTTTTGTTCTGTGCAGTTTTGCCTTTTCCTTTCCTCCTCCTCCTCTCCAGATGTGTCATCAGTTCTCATTTATTAGCATAACTAAAAACACTGCTGCATCATTAAAATGATCCTAAAGGGCTCAACAATGTTGTGTAACAGATAAGTGCAGCCGCCCAGACGTGGGGACTGAAGAAGAGGGAGATTTCTCGAGACAACCTCAGGCGTCATTTGGACTCGCGCAAAAGACTTTCACTGCATCGGCGTCCTAATTGAAAAACGATGCCGCTGTTACGATGTCATCCGATCCAAGGCCGAGCTTACCACACTTCACTCCTGGTGGTTTTTCACATAGCCTTTAAACGTCTTTAATTGGTCTGGCATTTTTGTGTCTCAAATTCCACAACTTCACTCGAGATCCACAGGTCTGATGAGCTCACTCATGCAGGTCCGTTTCACATGACCAAGCACCGACTCCATAAGACTCAGACATCCAGCGCACACAGCTCAGGACCTCAACTGACAACAATGATCTACTCATGCTAAATTACACACACACCCACACACACACCCACACACACACACACACGCAGATGCACTGCATTTGTGTGCTTTTCCGTCAGCTGGGTAAGGCTTCGCCATGTGCGTGAGTGCGTGCAGACTTCAAAAACCACAAGCGCAGCAGTGTCTGAGCATCGTAACGCTTTGGACTCGTGATTTAATCCACATTATGCATGCCGGTGTCCTCCACGGCATCGCCGTTCCAAACCGCAGACAAATCAACTGTAGGTCATTACAAGCGAGCGCATTACTGCAGCCGCTTTATGCGAAGCAGAAATGCATCTTAAGCACGTTTTGGTGTAGAGCGCTGCAAGGATGAATTAAAAAAGAAAAATGGTGATAGGAGGCGGTGACTAAATGCAAAAAGGGATGACATGCAACCTACAGTTTTCCTTAGACATCCAGCACCACGGATGTGAGATTGTTAAAAAAAAAAAAAAAAAAAACATGCCAACCTCAAATGCAACTGTAAGAAAAACAGAGGTTACAGATGCTATACTTTAACTACCTAACAAGAGTAACAAACATTAAGCTGATCTTTGTGATTCAATTCTGAAAAGCCTTTTTAGTTTCAAAGTGTAGCAGCTATTTTACTTGTTCAGATTAACGCACAGGAAGAAAAATAAACACATTTTCTTTCATCTCATATCTACAACTCAGACAAATCAACAAAGCCGCTTGACCTCCAGACACAGATCTTGAGAAAGCAGCCATCGCAGTGCGACTCAATAAAAGCTTTCACTAATTAATTAAGTCTTCACATTCCAGTGGGCAGATCTGTGAAGAGAAACCTTGACCTCCAGACATTCTCTCAGTTCTAACAAAAGAAAGCTCCTGTTTCCTGCCTACATGGTCTCACCCAACAATAAGTGGTTAGAGATGAACGTACCCGCATGAACTGAGTCGCATGCAGACAGTAATGTGACCACATTGATTATTTTCATTGTAGCATAATTCCTCTGGGAGCGCTAAAGCGCCGAAGGCCAGGAAGTGAAACTTCACTCTGCGTTTGAGCAACATGATCGAGAAAAAAGTTTGACATTAACGACGAGCGACCGGAGAAAAGCCCGAAACTCTGGATCCCGACGTCGTTCTGAACCGAACCCAACGTTATAGTCTCACCGCATGGGGTCGGTTTGTGGTTCAGCTGATCAACAGACTGATGGATCAATCACCAATCAGAAAGGCTTCTTCTTCTCTCCTTGGACGAGCTAGTGAAGGCAAAAGGTTTAATGAGACATTCTGGTCTTCAGTAAAAGCAGAGGACCAAGTAAGTCTCTGGAAGTGTGAGACTGGAGCAGAAACGTCACAATCAGCATTATGGAATTTTTCTGTATGTCTATTGTGCTTGCATCTATACTTTTAAGGGTAAAATATGCATTTTGCCAGCATAATGCTC